ATGCTGATCAACACTCAGTAGGTTATTCACTGTTAAGTGACACATCATTTTATCTTTGATCAATGTCTCTAAGATCTTTGAAACTGCGGGGAGGGTGTTTATTGACCGAAAGTCATCAAATGATGTAGATTTGCCGTGCTCAGGAATGGGCAAAATGTGTGATTCCTTCCACAGGGTAGGATAGGTTTCAGTTTCAATAGCAAGATTAAATATCTTGCATAAGAGGGATGGGAAGATCGTGTTTGCATCGGCTTTTAAGATGCTTACTGGGACACCATCAGGGCCTGGACTATAAGATTGACGAAAACGCCGAATCGCAACAGTCACATCCCACAGAGTGAAAGTTATAGTTTCTAGAACTGCCCCGGTCAATGACTGGATGTTCGGAAGCGGAGTGGTCGAGTCTTCAATAAACGTTTTGGACAGGAAATCATTGAAGCTATCAGCGGTTAACTCGGCATCAACTATGGGATTTCCGAGAGCGGCTCGGAGGATAGGATGCTGCGTCTTTCGGTGAGTTCGTATTTTTCTAGAGAAAATTTTCGAGACATTTAACGAATGGTTTTCGGTAAACTGGACCTCTTCGGCTAGCTGTTTTTCTTCAGACAATCTCTTAGCTCGATCAAAAATATCACGAATCAAGGGCAGGACAGAAACATCGTTCTGAAGATGGAAACGACGATAAAGCCTGCGCAATCTGCGAAGAAAGGGTAAGGGTAGGAAAACCTCATCCCCAGCATTAATAATTTTCTTACGGAGGACACGACGAGAAATAAGCGGATCCAAAATTTCGTACAGATTTGCAATGCAAACATTTACATCCGAACTAAGGAAGAACTCATTCCAGTCGTAGGAATTAAGGTGTGTTAATAATTCGGTTGAGCGAGTTGATCGGAAATTGCGGAAAAAGCTATACTTTGTTACGACATTTTGTCAGCCTCGAATTCCAACGTTGAAACAACTATGTCATGGTCTGAGCCCACGAGTGGGCCTAGGGATGACACGGACGCTGGCATGCAGCCTCTACAGAAAATTAGGTCAAGTATGCTTGAGCCTCGGTCGGGAAAATCGACAACCTGATTCCACATCCCAACATCCACAGCCTCAAGAAAGTCATCGAACCTTCTGGGGCCTGAAGGCGGAGACCTGCGGACTTCGGAGTGATTAAAGTCACCCGCAACCAATTGACACTTAAAGCTTAAGTCGGTCGCAGCATGAAATGTCTGTGAGAGCAAACGATCAAAATTGTCGTTGGCGTTGGGAGGGCGATAGACGCAGCCAACGAGTAGGGAGAACTTAATTTTTAGTGCAACTTGGAGCCAGCAGCTGCCTTCTACTGCGGAAAAATGCGGGGGTCCAGCGGCAAAAATGTAAGTGTTTACTTAACGTATTCGCAGCTGCCCCACCACGGCTATCTTGGCGATCATTTCGGATGCAATTATAGCCTAGAAGAGAGAGCTTGGAGTCAGCTAATGAGGCTGATGCCCACGTCTGAGTTACTTAAACAATATCTGGACAATGGATGAACACCGAGGCCTGAAGCAGAGGAATCTTATAAAGCAAGGATCTCGCATTTAAAACAAAAAGTTTAAAGGGTAAGTCTATTAGTTTTTGAGGGAGGTGGGCTACATCGTCCAGTTCTGGGCTGCCCACGGAGCAAATGGTCCGGATGCAACCATCCGGTTCTGCAAAAAATTTTGTGGCATCGAAAAATTCTGACGTGGATAAAAATGAGTAGAACTTGGGGAGGGAATGACGGGCAGGTGAACTGGTAACTATTGTTTGCTAACATATTTTCAGCTGGAAATCCGCGGGGCAGATACCGCAACACATTCCCGCCGGAACGAACCTGAGGATCGGATGAATTAACTGATTCAGTATGGACATTATCATGAGGAATAAATTGGTAAAACGGCCGTGGAGGAAACAAGTTAGGGGGTGGGGGACGTATTGTTTCCATTGGAGCAAGAGTTTTATTAGACGGAAGGAAAATCGGTATATTCGGCCTAAATGCCTCGATATGAGGGCTTGGGGCAGTTGCGAACCCGCTACGTTTTGAGTCGGGGTATTTGAGGCACTGTTCGCCGATTGTGGAGGAAAACATTTTATACTGGTGCTGGATTTATTGGGCGTCCGAGTGGCTGAGACAGCAATCGGATTTGCCTTTGACTTAGACACATGCTTAGGCTTACTAGGGGTTGCTGGGGGAGTCGATAGAGGCGTGTTTATACCAGGCGTGATGGTCTGTTTAAAGAGTTCAGCATTAAAAGTAGTCGAATTCCCTACGGAATTGACTGTGCCGTGATGTGCAGATGCCGCAGACGGTGTTTTAGAGGACTAATTCAGACTGACAGTAGGTGTCATTTTTTTGGTGTTGGATTTGCCGAGTTTAATTTATTCAGTCTTCGCTGCAGGGGTGTGAGGTCTGGCGAAACGGAGCAGCGCCATTTACGGCAGAAGTCTCTAGTTATCTCCCTACTCGACAAGATAAAATCGACTTCTATCATGGAGAAAAGGGTAACTAGTATCGGCGCATTACGGCTAAGCGAGCGAAGTCGCTTAGCTTGTGCGATACTGAAACTGAAGCCACAACCTTATAGGAACACATGCGCTCCCTTCATAGCAGATAAGTGGCTCGGAATGTTTCGCAGTACAAAATTATGCTTGCGCTCAATTCTTTCCTCAGTTTACGAACCTATTACCCCAATAAGTTTAAAAGCTTGTACAATTACTTTTTCAGAAGTGCTGTTTATGTCGATATAAATCAGCTGATCGATTATTTCGCTGGCTGATGGCC